CCTTTGTGTCTTACTGGCCGTGCCTGTCACAGTGCTACTTGATACGTTGTTCTTCCCTGACTTCTTTGCTCACTCTTCTTTTTGTTCTGAAGACATTCTTCTAGTCACTCCTTTGTGTGTTTGTTGTCATCTTCTCTGTCTGTGGACGTGCTGCAGGGCTATTTACTTCTTGGATTTTTGGGGGTGGTATTAGCCCAGACCTTCTTATTCCTAACTTTTCTCACTTAAATTGGTTGTCAGCTTCCCTTTCTGGCATTCTTAGGCAGAAATCTTTCTTCTGGCTTGTGCTTAGGATGGCCCAGCATATTTTCCCACCATTTTTGTCTGTTTCTCTTGATTTTAGAGTGGGGATGAGAAATGATCTTTTTTGTCATTCCCAACCCAAAGTCTTGCTGTTTCTTGTTTTTATTCATATGCTTTGTTGCTTACACCCAGCTTTACCTTTCTGTCCAACTAAACCAACTTTATGTAGTGTTTTCACTGTGCCCTATGTTTATTTCTGTAATCTCTTTTTCTCTGTCCTTCCAACAAAGCTCTCCTAGCCTGAAAAAAAATGCAAAACAGTATAGTGAATTATACTATCCAAATCCTGTACTGACTGTGCTAGCACCCAGTTGAACCCTCTTTTGCACACAACCCCTCCTTTTAGCTGCATCAAGTATGGTGGCACTTTTCCTCTTCAAATAACTTTTGCGTTTCTACTGCTGTCTGTTATCCTATGTTGTCTGTTACTGTCATTGTGAGTTTCTTCTTCTTTGGTTGTGGTCTTCATCTCAGTGTACTACTAGCTGACAGATGTTTTTTATGAAATGGGTTTTTCTTCCTCTGTATCCAGAATATCATCTAAGCCTACAGGATTGTTACATTTTCTGAAATCTCTTCTCTTCTTCCTCTCAAAGTCCTTCTTTAATGCTTGCATTAAATTAGCTAAAGTAATTTATAATTCTTTTATTTCCAGTTTCAAATAAACTAGTGGCTTTTTTTCCTTTTTTCTGTTTTTTTTTTTTTTTTGCTATACTATCATGCTCTTTTCCTTCTCAGTCACAGCAATATTGATTATTATTTATTTGTGTTTAAGTGGCGCTTAGGAATCCATGCCCTGTCGTGCTTGGTGTGTGTACTTGCTTTGAAGCACCAAGTATACCTTTGGTTGTGGGGTTTTTGCATTGGTTCTTAAGTGTCTTTTGCTTTATGAACTGTAACTCATGCACAACCTGCTGAGGTAGGTGACATTCTCTGCTCTGTAGAATCAACCTGGCTAACTCAGTAGCGAAGCAGTTCAGTGCAGCAGTGTGTGGGGAATTTTGTACAGGTGTTGCCCATATGTGTTGGGTATATGCCTGGAAATTGGAAGGGTGATGGTAAATTTTTTCATCTGTCAGTATATCATTTTTCATAAGGGGTGGATTTTTTTTGAAGGCTTAGGGGAAGGATGGATTTTTGCTCAAGGTTCTTTTGTTTTATTATTGTAAGATTTATAGCATTGCCAAGCCCCTTATTTGGACTGATCCCAGACCTGACATCCCTCATCCATTTGGAGTGCAGAGCTCTCTTCCTCTGTTTTTCCAGCTTTCACTCCAAAGGTGGGGAAGAAAAAATATCAGCATATGAACTATTTTTTGAAGGGATTAGTTTGTTCAGTCCTTACTTCTAAATTAGAAGGTAAGGAATGTTTCAAGGAGACTTTGAGATTTCTACAGTTTTATTCTACATCCCACAATAGGGTTTTCAATTTTAGAGCACTAACATATTTCTACTTGAATTTAACCAACTCACTTCCTGCCCTGTGAAAGTCACTATGTCTACCTCAGTTCCCCGCTGCTACACTTCAAGCTATTACCTTTTGGCCTGGATCCACCCATCCTCACACTGAAACGAAGGCCTGACTGAAGAAAACATTCCAGGAACAGTTTATCCTTTTCTAGTTTATACAGATTCTGTAATGCAGGGTTGCTTTTTTAGCTTTTCTTTCAGCACTGCTGAGGCCAAATGTCTTCCCAGCCGCTCTGAAATTTCTCAGCAGTTCACTTTCTTCTTACTACCCAAACAACTTTGGTAGATGGCCATATGGGGAGAGATGCTATCATGTGCCCTGGCTCTTGAGCCCTGTACTTCAGTACCTTGTGGAGTTGACTGGCAGGATCTCTCCAAGTCTGACCTTTTCCTGGAGTACAGTTATTCTAGCATGCTTTATTCTGTATATTGAATCACAGAATACAGTGTTCTCTGTCTGGCATTATGGCTGCTGTGCACAAAAGGAATTTTTTCTAATTTACATGTGCCTTCTGGAATGTCCCTTAAAGGACAGAGGGCATCGATATTGTCCATTCTTGCCTCGTGCTTTTACCCTCAATATGTTGTTACAAGTACCTAGCTAGGTGTGTTAAGTGCTAGTTCTCAGTAGCTGGTACCACTGAACCACTTATGCCATGTATAGGAAAAACAATAGACACAAGTTTATGACATCTGATCATAGCCACCTAAGGGAAAGTATAATTTTTAACTTGTAGCAAGGTTTAAATGACTGGGAACAAAGTCCGGACGAATGCTTTGGGTCATTACAAACACAAGGTTCTGAGCTACAACGTTTCTAGGACTGCCCTTCTCTCTCTTAGTGTGTTCTGTAGGTTCAAGCACTGAACTGCAGCTTGTCCAGCCACTTGGCTTATATCCAGAGTTTCTTCTGGCTCAAAATCTTGCATGTTTTGCTTTTTGCTGGATTGTTCTTTTGTACCTGTCTTTTGTAGGCTGGCACAACAACAGACGGAGAGTCCTAAGAACAACTGCTCTAATTGCACGTTCATGTTTCTCCTACCACTCCCCCGGTCTCCTCTCACTCCCTCCCACCCCTTCCCAAATTCCATTAATATTTACAGAACAAGAGCCAATACTCCAGCATTAGCCTCAGATTCAGAATGAGATTTTTCTGGCGCTCTCTGCAGCTAATGTAGAAGACAACAGAGGTTAGAAATGCACTTAAAAAAGCCCAAAAACCAAAAGGCCTTTTTATATCCAACACACTAGATGAGTTGTATTAGGTATAAATAGGCCTACAAAGACCAGAGCATATGTAAAAAAATATTATATGTATTGTTGTTGGAGGCAGAGGAACATAAAATTATTAGGTCATTGACTAAATTAAAAATTCCGGAGCTTTAACTTATATGAATTCATTTTCACCATTTTTCATTTTTCTTCCTACACAAAATTTGAAGAAACAATTTTGTGTGGGGAGAAAACAGTTCCTTTCTTCAACTTACTGATTCATTTGCAGGATAAGCAGTAAAATCAAAAAGTCAAATGGAAAGATTTGCCAAACATGAAACAGAACTGTGTTGATAGTTACACACTAATAATGTATAAACAAAACATTTGTAAGGATGTAAGGATTTATTTATATAAATAAACTTTTACCTTCAGTCCACCAGTGAGGTTTTGCAAACACAGATTTTGTAGACAAACTGAGAAATTAGGAGGGGGGTGGAGAGAATAAAGAATTCAGATAATTTGCATTGTTTTATTTGACTCCAAACTAAGTATTTTCTTTCATTTCTGTTGTCAGTGCATAAAATGTGTTCATAACCTTTATAAATTGACTTAAAAATAAAAAGCCAAAATCAAAAGATAACTATTTCTGTTCTTCCAAATTGTTTTTATATTAATGTTGTTTTATTTGTTGGAAAGTATTTGCTGACTTCCCCTGCCGTCTGCACATGCATTTACCTCTCTGTGACCCCTTTCCATGAGTGTTTCAAGACTTGCTTTTCCCTGGCCATGGGAAGGATGGCTGGTGTCCGTTTCCAGTTTGCGTGAGGTTCTGGCTACTGGTGACCTCAGCTAGTTGCCTGCAGGCAATTTTTTTAACCATGTGAAGTAATTGGATTGCATCCATCTTGTTGTGAGGCCAAGGGTTGTTTTGGAGCATAGAAACTGATCTTCATTCTTTAAATGTAGAAGGAGTTCATCTGCACGTTCTGTGGAAGATGATTTGGCAAAGCAGTCTAGAGAAGCTGGCTCTGCAGCATGCATGTGCTGCTCTTCCTCTAAGGAATTGTGAGAACATATTTTAGCAAAGGATTCCTTAACCTATGAGATACCCCAAAATACATAGTCACAGAAAAAGTTGTTTGTTTGTTTGGGTTTTTTCATCCAATATGGATTTATTTATTCTTAAATTTCTGTCCTTCTGAGAGGATGCCAATAGCCATCAGTCTGTCCTTTTCTCTGTAAATTCTTTTTTTTTTTTTTTCTAAGAAGGGCTGTCTTACTTCCTTCTCTGCTCTCTGACAGTAGAATTGGGTTAGCTCACTTTTCTGATGAACCTACGTTTTCCAGATAAATGAAAACGTAGGGGTTTATTTTTCAAAACTGAAGCAGTTGGATTGCCTTTTTGTTTTACTGGGATAAGCATCCGTGATGCTCTCGGAAATGGAGAATGATCTAAAATAATCCTAGCTGTTTTTTGTTGTTTATCTGTTTCTTTTTGCATCTGTCTTAGTATTTATTGCTACCATCTGCATTTCATTTCAGGTTGTCTAATGTCTTATTCTGCATGTTCTGTGCCTATTCTCTATACATAGCCTTGGGCTGTAATATCACCATTTGCCTACAAGAGATCCATTTCTATCTGTAACAAAATGAATTGCATTCATCTGTGTAATTCATTTCTAATGAATGCCTTGCTCCTCATTAAACAGTGATTTACCTTTGTTTCCCTTTTCTACACTGTCAACACTAACCATTTTGAGGTCCTGTGGAGAGATGCTAATTTGAGAAAGCAAAAGTCAATGCAACTAAGCACTCGCAAATGCCATCCTCATTGGCACTTTAAAAAATATTCATGGGACACTTTGTGAAATACAGTTTGCAGGTGGATAAGAAGACTTAAAATATTTTCTTATTCATAAGCTGTCAATGTACAAAGACAACACTTCAGAGTTTAAATGCATTTCTCCTTGTCAATGTCTTGAACAGGTACCCAAGCTTGTGAATCCTTTAAGACCTTGTCTGCTCTGCAAGAATTTTATGGATCGCAGGCACATTTGGGGAGACTATACTCTTGATTCCCTGTCCGCTCTGCACCTTTTCAGGAATATTAGAATATTTCAAACCTATATTCAGAATAATACTGAATTTTGAGATATGTTAGAATGTTTCAGGCTTGAAAATATTTTACTTCATTGTTTTTTTCTGAGAGTCAAAGATTAATATAACTGTTTATTGGCTTTGTGTATCTAAAGGAAAAGGATTAGTACCATTAATTAATGAAATAGGGGTCATAAAGTAATTTTGTTACAGATTTGGTCCATACACAACTTTTCGGTAATGCCCTTTCCACCTATCCTGCAGCATTCCCTTTACCAGCCCTGCACTTTGCAGAACAGGAGAATCTGCCATGTGTGTAAACGGATCTGTACTGCTGGCAGGTGATGGTTAGAGTATAGGATGAATTACCAAGTTTATTTTCCCTTTAAACCTAAGCAGAGTTTGAAATGCAGCAACAGATTATGAATATGAAAATACTGTTGGTAAGCATAATTTAAAGCAATACAGATGATTTTTAGGAAGTTTTATTATTTACAGCATCCTTAACTCTTATTTTAGTGATAGTACAAGCTACTCATTGACACTTTTGATCACTTGTATGAATTTAGCTTGGCATTTCACAATATTTATTCTTGTGTTTGGCCATATTGATCCCCTGTTGAAACTCTAGAATTGTCAGTGGGCATCAGTCGAGTTACACCATGGATTAATTTGATCATAGTATTATGAGGGGATTGAAGCATGGGAGGTTTTTTTTAACTGGTCTTGCCTAAGTCATGTAGTATTTGGAAGTAAGAACACTGATTAATGTAACAAAATTTTATTTTTAATATACATTTTAGAGGACAAAACTGACCTTGAGAACAGTGTGATGCAGAAGAAAATTAAAATCCCCAAACTCTCTCTCAATCACGTAGAAGAAGCTGGGGAGGTTACAGATTATGGGGAAGAAGATGTGGAGCTTAGACACAGTAAGGTACTGAAGTCTTTCCTTTTTTTTTTTTTTGTCTTTTTTTGTCTTTTTTTTGGTCTTTTTTTTTTTTTTTTTTTCTTTTGGGAAGTGCTTGGGGCATATACAGATGTCATAGCTTAAGAATTCCAGGCCTGCTTTTGATCCCCTTAAAACACTGTTTGGTGCAATTGGGTCAAATTGTGTGAGTGGGTGGGGTACGGGTTTTCAAAACCTGATTTATGTGCAATCAAACATTTTCCTGTTTATTCCGTCTGCACAGTTTAATTGCCATTTGAGATTTTTGGAACAATGCTCTTCTACTTTGGCCCAGAATGCTTTAAAAGTCACCAGTTACATGAATGTTGAGCAGCTGTTCTCGGTGGCACTTGTGACCGATTGCATGCTGCTTGTTTGGAATTGGAAGGGGTGCTCTGAGACTTCCCAGCTACAGCAGTGGGTGAGAAGACAAATTGACAGGACTGCATCCCTCTGTTATAATTGCCAGTTGCCTTTTTAGGTCCAGATGCCAGAAACCCACTATGTAAATGTATTTATTTTTTGATATCAAATGATTTCTTTAAAAGTCTGCCAACCTTCAGAATAAAATACTGCTCTGTGGCTTCATGTGTTTTGCAGCTGCAGGAATGATACTAGTTCGTTTCTTTATGGTGGGCCAGCTTTTTTTTTTTTTTTTGAACATGCGTGGAGCAGGCGTAACATCAAATAATCTCATTTTCTGCCACATTACTCATGGATATTGTGGTATGGGAATTGATAGTGTCAGCTTCTTGTCTCCAACCTATGAGCTATGTTTGCTTTCCTTGCAGTTGTTTGGAAGTTCAAATGCTTTTTCCATATTTGGCCAATAAAACTTAGTGACTTTTACCTGTACTGTCACATTTTAATACCACTGTTCAGGCCCCAGAAAAGAGTTGTGCTTTAATTCGTAGGGTTTGTGCAGATGACTGTACGTAAATTTCTGCTGAGAGTTCAAAGGAGATGAAGCCTCTGCAATGCAGTACTAATATAGAAGGAATCAGTTGATCAGGAAGATGAGACTGGATGATATATTCTGTCTCCAACTTCTGTGTTTTCAATTCCCTTTCAGTGTTTGCTGACAGTGTTAACTCAGTCACTTGCATCAGGCAGTTGGGTGAACATGCTGGAGGAATAGTCAGAGAACGTTTTGTCTCCCAAAGTGTGGGAAGGACAAGACGTCTGTTCACAAAACAGCTTTGTATGGTATGCCGCTTTCATCTCTGATGTCATTACAGGTGACAAACGTAGCACACAGTTGAGTCTTTCTCTTACTTATCAGCAAATCAATTGCTGTTGGAAATCTAAATGTTAGGGGTAAACTTTAAAGGAAGAGAGATCCAGATCCAGTTTTTTTTTTAAAAAAAAAAGAAATTAATTACCTTTGTATATGGAATCAAGTGACCTATATACACTCAGCTTGCAAGTATTGCACAAATGCAGAAAGAAAGGCGTTTAACTGCCTCAAAAGTTTCTATATGCATTTAGCTGAACTACATGTGCACGACAGTTATGATGTATATCCACAAAAATCTGTTAGGCAAAACGTTTTTGCAGGCAGACTTTGTCTTGCTTTTCTTGGAAAACAAGAATATTAACGGTTCCCAATTTGTATTACATCTTACTGCTCTCCTAATTTATTTTTTTTTTGTTGTAACATACAGAGACAAGATGGGAGGAAACAAAGTGAAGGTACACACAAAAGCATTGAAGCAGTTGTTGCTCGCCTTGAAAAACAGAATGGGATGAGTCTCAGTAATACTTCCAGCCCTGAGGAGGCTTTTATGGAGACTTCGGAAAGCATGAACAACATGGACGATGCTGTAGTTCCTCGGATTCTGTATGAAGAATTGCTGAGGAGTTACCAACAGCAACAAGAAGAAATGAGACACATTCAACAGGAGCTTGAGAGAACGCGGAGACAGCTTGTGCAACAGGCAAAGAAGCTAAAGGAGTATGGGGCGCTCGTGTCAGAAATGAAAGAGCTCAGAGACTTGAACAGGAGACTCCAGGATGTACTGCTTCTAAGACTAGGTAGTGGTAAGTGCCGGACTTAAATGGGACTAGTTTTAATGAATTTTGCAAGTGTGATCAATAGTAATGGAAACATATTTGAAGAATAGCAGTGATTGTTAACTTGGACATTGAATGTTGAAAGGGTTTTCTGCTATGGCTGTACAATATATGTCAAATTTGTATGCTATGTACGTCTGAGTTTTTCTTTAATGATAGTAGAGGTCTTTATGCTGGTATGGTTGAATTAGAGTTCCATTTTAAGCAGCTGTATTTTAAAGAGTCTCTGACTTTCCAGTATATGCTGAAAAAGATAATAAAGCGTCATCTGCAACATATACCAATATGTTCCAGTTTAAAAAGAAAAAAGAAAGAAAGGGCAGTGGAATGAGTATTTGGGCTAAAACTATTATATCTTTTCATTTAGGGATATTTGTTTATTGTTATGTAAGTGACTGTGTTACCTTCCATTTTCTGCCCCCTCTTCCCATTAGTAGCTCATTAGAATGTGATATATTCCTGAACTTCTTAGCAGTGGCTTTAAACAGCCATGCTATTTGGAAAATAATGGATTGTTAAAGAATAATTAAAAAACCTTTCTATATTAGTATCCCGTCTATCAACACTTGTTACAAAATGCAGGTTTGTGTAATTTGGATTTAAATTTTAAATATCTTGAGTCAGTTGCTCATTTGTTTTGGTTTATAACAATTATTTAACCATTATGTTGGAATAAATGGGAAAAAAGACAAAATAAAAAGTTCATCCTTTTCATTGAAGATGGTACGCTTGGAAATACCTTCAAATATTTTACTAATTTATATTTATTTTCTATTAGAATGTGGTACTGTTGTGTTGGAGATTTGCTTGGTGACTGAAACTTCGTTAAAATTTGTGCATCCAAACATAGCATGCTGTTTCTTATGTCTGCCTTTGTGTATCTGGAAACTTAATTTTTGCATGTAAATTGGATATTGGCTCTTCTATTTGACTTGAACGAGTGCATGTAAGTTGCATGTTGGGTCTGAGTTATGTTCACATACAAACCTGAACCCGAGGGAGCATGTGCCTGTGCTATAGCATGTGTTAAGGTCTGCCTACAAGTTTGGAGCCAGGTTCTCGAAGTAGCATCTGACGATTTAAACTGGGTGTTTGATTGTGAATGCTCATCATTGTTACACTGTGCATAATTAAAATGTCATTACTTATTATAAACATTCTAGTTAACTTTTTAAATAAAACTAAATAGGCAAGGTTTCCACAGTCTGAAAAACATGATGCGGTTGGCAGTAGATTCCACTGAGCTTTCTAAAATTTTCCTTGGATGGAAAGATGTTTCTTCATCTGCAAGTAGTTAGCTGGAATTTATGTGAATGGAGCACCAGCCAGATGTTAGTAGGCAATGGGGCTGAACAGCATAAAATACCAATTTAGTTGGTAGACTTGACAGCAATTTGAGTGGTGAGACCAGCAATGAAATGAAGACAGCTTCTGAATTCTGTCTCATTTCTTTCACTTTAAGAAAGAAGGGATGCATTTTTTTACTTGTCAAATCAAGAAAGCTTAGAAGAGAAAAAAAAAAAAAAAGAGGAAAAAAAACCCCACCCAAAACAACAAAACACCTAAAACCCAGAACCTCTTGGAAAAAGTGCTGAATCTTCTCTAAATACTGGGCTTGAATTTCCATTGTATCAGTCTGGCACCTGTTTTACCAACTGAAAATAAAGCTCGATTACATTGAAGACAGGTTCTTTTAATTTAATCACATACCTGGACAAATACGAATTATAGGTAACTTCCAAAAAAATTCCTTGTTGTTATTACTCGTATGGGACTTTGCATGGATGACAAAGGTAGAATTTGGCCCTATGGGCTGTGTCCTTCACAAGGTGTGTGTTTCCTAAGACTCAGTGTATTAACCGCTGATAACTCTTGCCTTTCCATGTAGCCTCATTCTCAGTAGAGAAACAACCAGATTCTAGAAAGATCAGTACAAAATTTATGAATTATTAGAAAGGGAGACATCTTCAGCAAATTATAAATTAGGGAGTCTGATGACTGTACAAAAACGTGCTACTTCTAATCAAGAAACAGATATGTAAAGACTTCTTTAGTCTTCCTTCCTTTTCCAGCTTATAAATGAGGTATGTTTGGATATGTGAATAATCTGTGAAAATTGTTCAGGAAATAGATTACATTCTGAATTCATCTTCAGTTGTTGCAGCTATCTCTTAAACCTAGAGTTTCAAATTACATGTAATTTATGTTACGCTGCACTTCTAGCAGGCTGGACTTAATGCAAACTAATTGCATTTCTGTTTCACCTTAGAGACTTCTGATTTCTTTGCATGAGATGACAGCTGTTTTGTGCTGATGAATTGCAGCTGTGGGAAATGCGTGCCTGTTGCCATTTTAAACTTGCAGATCAAATATAGAACAGCCTCTTGAGCTAACATTCAGTCAAGTATTCAGTCTCCTAATTTACCATCAATGTGTTGATTTCAGTGAGAAGCTAAAGCCAGTGTATTCTGCTTTAGACCTAGGCCTTCATCTCTGCCACTAAACTTGAGCCGCTCCTGTGGGAAGAGTGAGGTTCTTAAATCTTCCACGTGGTGACATTGAATTGCTCTTTGTTTTAAAAGAGCCTTGAAAGCAGGTGTGGCAAATGACAGTAGTGAAATCAGTACTGATCCATGGGGATATATTGAAGCTTCTTTATGGTTTTGATATGCTCTTGCCCAGCAGATCCCTTCCTGGAGGAGGCAGGCATTTGACCAGGGCTCTAGGGACCAAAACAGTGGGGGAACATGATTGTTGTGGAAGAGGGTATGGTATCCCTCGCCTGAGCTCCCTGAAGAATGTGTGCAGCCAAAGACTCTTTTCCCTTGCCTACTTTGGGATCAGGAAGCCCTGCGAATTGTAGGCCTTTGCAGTTTGTCTTTGTTCTGTTGCACCTGGAAATGCACTGATTTGCCCTGTTTTTATCAATGGAGAGTAAGGTGATTTAGAGACTTAAGTCACTGGCTCTTCCTTGTAGGCCTAACTTTAAATAGTCCTTGGATTGCAAAAGATAAGAATTTCAGTAATTTCTTTAAAAAATAGTTGTGTCCAGGGTAAGGTCTGTGTAGTTTACTATGGTTGTATATGGCCAGAAGTAGTGAAGTTGTATCAGGGGTAATGTCTGGGTGTTTTTCGCTCCCTGATAAATACTGCATTTTCATGTTGTATTGCTGAGAATTAGTGTTGCTCTGAAGTCACGTAGTATATTCATTCATTCACATTCATTCATCAACATAGACACAGTGCCCCAGGTGGTTATTTTTAATCCCAGTTTAATTTCAGTGATCCACTTTACAGGGTCTTGGGACTGACACCAGGATAGGGAGAATGAAATGGTATTTGTGTCTTACCACATGTAAGGAATTGCTGTTATTCAGCTTTTCTAGATTTGTGTGGCTTTTTAATGTTAAAAAAAAAAAAAAGTCCAAAGTTTCTATTGAGTATGAGTACAGAAAGTACCATATATGTAGTATTTCCTCTTCTCGGACTCCTGTTGTTTTTGTTCAAATTCTGGTAGGCCGTGTGGGGAAAAAAGCTTGCTGCTTACAGATGTATATTGACCACTTTATCAGTTAATTTATTTGGGCTTATTTACTAATTTCTGAGTAGCATGTAGCCTAAGACGCATTTTTGAGGAAAAGACGTGATGAAGGGAAGCCTTCTACCTCTTCATCCTGCATGTGAAGTTGCTGGCCTCTCAGATACTACGGAAACTTTACAGTCAGAAGGAGACAGATTTTTGCAATGAAACATTTGTTTCCTTTTTGCATTCTGAAGAATTGTCTTTTTTTTTATGATCCTTATTACATAAGTACTATCATTGTTAATTAAGCCTTTATATAGTGGCATATGTTTTTGTATGTCCCATTCATCATCTTACTTTAAAGGTGCAGAGCATGAGAACTCCACAGAGAGGAAACTTCTAGAGTATGGTGTGTGGCGCACAAGTCCCATTAGCAGTTAAGGCAATAATGTGGGTTGCATGTCTAATTCATAGCATGCTGGCTTGAAAATGCAGTCTTTAGTAGTTGGTGAAAGTAGCTGTGAAGACTACCTAGTTAGAGGCAGATTTCTGTTTGGGAAGAAAAATGAGTAGTATATAAAAGAAGACATTTTAAAACCTTTCTGTTGGTGACTTCTAAGCAAGCAGTAAAGCATGAATTGCAGTAGAGGTTTTTCTGACCTGTTAGAGCCATGGTATTGTGGACTTTAATCAGCTGTTTTTCTTCAGGAACTCTGGCAACCAAATCCCAGCTGTGTCAATATATGACTATAAAGAAAACAGTAAAAGACTTCTAAATAGCAACTAGTAGAAGTGTTTAAACTGAGATCCAACTTTTCCTTCTAGGAAGAAGGTCATTGTACTTCGGTGTCTTCCTCAAAGTGACTTTCAAAGTGTAAGAAAACTCAAAAGAGCACTTTGCTGAAGAATGTGTTCTTAAAGTAACAGCTAAAAGATCATGTCTTAAATTCACACTAGCAATTACGTCACTGCATCTGCTTGTTCAGGTGTGCCCACACTGAGGTGTGTGCAGACTTTGGGTGATTTAATCAGTCCAGGTCTTTCCCCGAGTCTGAATCAGTTTAGCAGTCTCAAGTATGGAAAGTTGAATTAGTCTTTGTCGTACCACTGCATAGACATGATAGTAGAGGTGCTGATTGAGATTACTATGAAATTATAATGCAAATGGTATGGGTTTTGTGATTTCTCTATTTGCGCCATGCTTGCATTGCATATGGCTCTTAAGACACTCCATTGGTGGCACTGCAGTATAGGGTTGTCTGAGTTGCCAAGACAACTTTTAGTTCTTGCTGAATGTCAAGTGGCAGTCAGCTGAAAACACTTAGCTAGCTGTGTAGGTGTAGAATAAGCTATAGGATAAATATCAAATGCTGACAATGGAGGAAATGCTGATATCATTGTATAATAATCTGTAAATGGAACTGCACAAAGTAGGAGGAATGAATACTTTACTTGTTCCAGGTACAGGAACTATTTAAGATATGTGACTAAATACAGGAGTTCTGGTGCCAGCTTGACTTGCAGAGTTAGATCAATTCAGGGCCTGGTCTATGTGTGCAAACATTGAGGAGGGATGCTGAACTGTGACAGTGACCTCATTATTGAATTGCCATTTGTTGAAGATGTCAAGGTTGGACTGCAGAGTGTTGTAGTGCGCTCGGCACCAACCTGGTACAATATAGTTCTCATGAGGGGGTGAGTTTATATATAGTTCTTGGAAGTGGCTGATCACTGTGGTGTCCAGGATGTAAGCTGGCAGCTTTGCTGTGTTAACGAACCACCATCCCTGCGTGGCACTTCAGTGACTTCTGGAGCTTCTTGTGAGCCCAGAGACAGACATCAAGAGACAATGATGGGGCACATAGGCTGTTCCTAGACTTCTGGTCTACCCACTGCAGTGAATGGAATAATGAAATCCAGTTCACAAATCATTTCATTTTCTTCCTCTGCTTTTTTAGGAACACTTTATAAGTTTGATCTAGAAAAGAAAAGCTGATGACTGACAAAATAAGTACCCTCCTCTGAAGCATCAAACATATGCTTAGTAGTATTCTGTTGTTTAATCTGTGCTTAATTTTTGTTGATTACATTAAAAATAAAAATCAGTGTGTTGGATGGATTGGACAATCAAAATTCTAATCTGTGTGGGTTTTTTTAACCTTGGATACTTTTTCTACACATGATGCTTTAGCATAGGTAGCCTAAGCCTGTTTCCTTTATAGCATTTCTGTAGATCCTCACTATTTTTAATATACATCTGTTGTATCTAAAGAGATTTCAAATTTCTACAAAATTTGTAATTCTGTATGGGTAATTTATATAACTATCACAGTAAACTATGCAGGTTTCTATGCAACTATATAGTAATTCTTACTTGAAGAATTACTGTTGTTGCTTTTGGTTTATAATTTCAGTGTCATTTTAACATAATTTCCGTAGTGTTCATTGAAGCAATCTTGCCCATATCTGTAATTGTCCATATGCTTTAAGAATAAAAATAAACATTTAAATTAAAATTAAACATTTTAATATTTATAAAGCAGAGTTACTTATCCTGCTTTTATTTGTTGGCATTTGGAAGAAGGATTTTCGTTTAGACTCTTTATAACTTTGAAATGAACATGACTAATGTGTTATTTTATGCTAACCATGGGTGATGAAGTGGTTGATTTCATGTTCTCTGGGATAGCAGACAGCTCTCTTTTCTTAACTGTCTAGGACCTGCCATTGAGCTTGAAAAAGTAAAACCAGAATCAATTGAGCCTGAACCTGAGGTACAGAAGACCTTCAGTGAGGAAGCAAATACATCAACGTACTATCCTGCCCCTGTTCCAGTAATGGACAAGTATATTCTCGAGAATGGAAAGGTATTTTCAATTAAATATAGCATGAATAGTTTGCAAATGTCCATCAGGTGATTTTCTTGTGGAATTTTCATGATATCGGGGGTTTTGCATGGTAGCAGCTTATACAAACTTCCTCAGTTTTTATAAAGGCATGCTATTATGCTGAGGAAAATGATGAAATTACACAAATATGAACAGCACAGAAAATTATCCTCAGTGATGAGAGCATTGAATGCTGTGCAACACAAGGAATATAATTATTAAATATGCATGAACAAGCACATTGGCATAGTCTTCAATAAATCCACCAAATACAGACCAGAGTCAGTATCCCACATTATAAAGTTACATTAGTCTATTTAACAGAAGTACTTTTTCCTAAAAGGTCTTTAATATTTTTAGTGTGCTGTAGTCCTAGTGCAGAGAAGCCTTTATGTTTTGGTTGAATTGGGGTCCAGTAGATAATTATGAACCCTGGAGCGAAAATGGGATCTCCCTTGAATTCCCTTGAATCTGTTAGGAGTGTTGCCACTGAATTGAGCTGATGTAGTGCTACTTTACAGATGCTTTTATAAAGTTGGTGAAATACCCTCTAGCTACAGTTTACCAGAACCTGACTGAGAGTTTTTCGGATTTCAGCATATTTAACACATTGTCCGCTCATCTACTGAGGCCTGCTTTTATAGCTGTTGCCATTATCATCAGATGAACATTGTATTTCTCTTACAAAACTACATGTCCTTCAGAATTGCCTATGCAGATCCTGTTTCTTAGGATATGTAAGCATTTGGTACCATAATCTGTGGACCGTTTAGGAGGAAACGTCCATTTCAGCTTTGGCATACGGTGGAATTACTGATGGAATAGCATGAAATAGAAATACTACATTTTCAGATCTGTGTTACAAGATTGACTGCACAAGTGTCTGTCATTCTTGAGATGAATTCGACATAATTGTTGAGGACAAAATGTATGTGAAAAATAGTATAATCTTGACAGTTTGACAGGTATTTGGTTCAGATAGCTTTTCTTGCCTAATATATTTAACATATGTCATTTGCCTGTATATTTTCTGTATTTGTGCAATGCAAACTTAGCATATATTACTGTGAGAGTTTGGTTTATCTCCTTTTTTGTGCTTGAGATCTGTGGGATAGGGCACATCCTTTAGTGTTGTATGCAGCTTTTCCTGCACCTTTATTTCATCTGCCAGCTTCTTGGCACTTCTGTTGCTGAAGTTTTCTCTGTCTTTACAGATATTAATATCCCTTTAACTTTCTTTTTGTAATTTTTGTGTTTTTGCCTATTTATTTGGCCTTCAGCCAGCTCAGATACCAGAAATGTGAATTAATAATGTATTTAGAGTGTTGGAGGTGTTTTTTTCAGTTTTCCTTATTTATGCCTTTTTTTCATTACTACTTTATTGACATGCACCACTAGAGTAGTTGAAATACTTTTTTAGAAATCTTACCCTTTGTGGCATCGGATTTGATCTTAGTAAGATTCTTTCAAAGCCGATAAATCTGTCCCCTCCAGAGGGAGAACAGAGTTACTGAAAAAGAGCCTATGGCATTCATTTAAAAAAAAGAAAAGAAGAAAGGGGAAGAAAAAAAAAAGGAGTTCATCTTCTGAGATACATTTTAGATATATTGCACATGTTAGCACAGTTACAGTGGCGAGCATTGCTTTGAATTTGCTGTTGTTTCTGTTGCGTTGTGCTTGAAGGTTGATCCTGCAGTTGCTGAAATTGGGGGTAAAGTCCCTGTTGATTTCATCAAGCCAAGGGTCTGGCCCATGGGGCAGCTCTTCCAGCAAGAAGGAAATGGCTTCTGAATCTGGAGTACAGTAAGCTTCCCATAGCTTTGGGAGTAATAGGAAACAGTACCGAGCCTGTTCTACAGAGAGGTAAACTGAGACATGGACAGATTAAATTCCTTGCCATAACAGTGCTAGAAATAGAAAAAGGGAGACATAAGAGTTCTGTGTCTGTGGCTGTCTGTCACGTAGTTGCTGCTACTGTAGGTGTTTCCTACCAGTGATAACTTTTTTTAATAAATGGAGCATGTTCAAAGAAGAGATGATCTGTCTGAAACAAATATTAAAAATACTTGCTGTAACTTGTTGTTTACTTAAAGGTAATGAATAATGTAGTAGCTTAAGAGGCTCAACAAACTTTAGCAAAGGCAAACCCTAATTTTGGCAGAGGGGAATCAGATTTTTGATCAAATACAGCAGTCTCTACAACTAATGTAATACAAACATCCAAAATTTGGCATGCCACAACATTCCTAATCTTAGTTATTTTCTAAGTAACTTATACTCGTTTTTACAAATAACTTTTCCAAGATCAAAACAGAAGTAGCTGAATTATAAATGTAACGTAATTGTTTTCTGGGCACAGACTGCTCACTGTGATTGAAGTTGTCTTACAAAATATGTAGAGAGCACCAAGAGAGTGTGAATTTTTTAAAGCAATTATGAAGAGGCTCGACAACAGAGAAGGGGTGTTCATGTTGTGCTTGTTACTAGTTCCATTTCTGTCCATTATGAAATCTAAATACCATGAGGGCTTGTGAAAAGCTTCTTAGGATCCCTTTTGTGTAGAAAATTTTGCAGGAGAGGCAGCTTGCTTTATGGTTTTATACTTTGGGGAAGTTAGACTTTTCATTTGTTTTTAATAAGGTAGCTGGTAGCCAAACCATTCATATTTTTCTATTTAAGTTTTTAAACAAGTAGTTGCTTTTGAAGGATGCTGTCGTAATAAAAAATTTCTTCGGGTTATAGCCCTTGTTAATAATTAAAGCAGGTTTCCATTTAAAGGAAAAATGGTATTTGGTTGAATACAGGCAGTAAAATTATGGGTATATAAAATTTTACAGTAGCTTTGTCCAATTTCCATTGCATTTAAGGGGACTTATGTGATACTGTTCAGATCTGTATGGGTAGCAGGCACAGTTTATGTAATGCTACATGAAAGGAGTAAAACCACAAAAAACTAAGAGCAAAACAGTTAAGGCAAACAGAGTCTCCTAATAAGAGTTTTGCCTTAGAATTTTGTTCACAGGGGTTTTTTTTTAATCATGAGGAGGTAGTAAGTTTTTATTAAAGTATTAGTATTACAGAAGGAACCTCCATTTGATTAGGTTTTATGAAACTTAAATTTTGAATATAACAATCCAATTGATACCTATTATTGGCATTTTGCAGTTTTACAGCATTATCTGAAAGTAAGTTCTGTCGTCTTCCTTTCCAGTGCAGTGAACCCTTGTCAATATATAGAATAGCTAGGTCATGCATTAGGTTGTCATGGATGGTGAGCAAGCGTGTGTCCAACCGAATGAAGTTCATCACCATGTGAACAAAGCTTTCTGTGTGCACAGTTAGTTCAGGTGCCTGCACTGTACTCCAGCAATTAGGAGCATGGACATACACGGTACAAAGTATTCTCCGTGGTTCTGCACAGGGCTAGCGTTTGCGTCAAGTTGGGCTTACTGGTTGCACTCATGTCAGACCTGTGCTGATTATTAGTGAAGTTATTTGCCTTGCTGTTGCTTGGAGGTATCCTAGTTGTCAGGAGGACTATCAGCTCAAACATATGTAGTGCCAGCCTAAGGACGGTACTCATATTCTCGCCCTGCATTCATCTGAAGTCTGGAGCACTGGGAATCATGGGGTAGAGATACGGTGTATCTCTGTGGGAGTCAACCCAGCATAGTCAATGCTGAGCAACGCTAATAAGCGCAACTAGACTCGAACAGCTTCCTTTTGGAGACTCTTCATTGGCTTCACCCTACGTTTCCCAGTACCCATATTATTCTGATTTACTACTTCAGTAAAATATCTCTGCTCCCCATTGTCTGGATAGTGGAAAGTTTGTGATGTTGCAGCAATGGGTCATTGCCTTACCACAAAGCAGTATTCACCTGAATAGATTGATCATACATGATAGGCAAAATTCGTGATAGAATTTGAAGTTTTGCAAAGCTTGCAAGCTCTCTTGGCTTGTATTGAAATTGGAGCTCTCAAAATTCCTTCTCCCCTTCTACTTACTTTAAACAATCAGGTTGAATTTTTGCCAACAGGTATGGGACATGACTTAGGAAGTATTTCCCTCTCCACTGCCTCCGAAATATGCTTTGGGTAAAGTCTGTTTCAGCCAAAGGGAAGCTTTCATACTAAAGACAATGTTTCATCTTGCTCCTGAATTAGGCTGGTGCAACTGCTTGGTTTATATGCTGTGCATACCTTTATAATACTGGATGTTTTTATGGTTTCCTTCTATCTCTGTTCCTGACCATAGTCTTTCAGGAGACAGGCTATGAGGGGGGAAAAAGTAGAGAGTAAGAAGAATTGACTACAAAAAGGAGGAGGAACTATATTATATAAGAGGTTGACTTGAACTCCCTGACCCACAAAGTTGGAGAAGTTTCAGAATTAGGCAAAATGGATTTGTTCAGCCCTAATTACTGTTATTATAGTACCTAATATTAATGTTCCTACAGCACTTGGATACTGTTGTGTGCTACATACCATAGATAAGTTGTTATTATTACTACCTTCTAGGTCCATCTTGGCAGTGGAATTTGGGTAGATGAGGAGAAATGGCACCAGCTGCAAGTAACACAAGGAGATTCAAAGTATACAAAAAATCTAGCGGTTATGATTTGGGGAACAGATGTTCTCAAGAACAGAAGTGTCACAGGAGTTGCAACCAAAAAAAAGAAAGATGCCGTTCCCAAGCCACCTCTCTCACCTCACAAATTAAGCATTGTCAGAGGTAGGTTACTTGAAAACTTTTGCTTCCTGCTTTGGAGTTTAACTATTAATCATTGAGTTGAAAGATGCTTCTTTTCAGCTCATATAAAATTAACTGATTAAAAACTGTAATTCAGATTGCTATTGCACTGTGAAGTGCGTACATATCCAGGAAAAGTAAAACACATTGCAATAGCTGTGCACAGTGCAGGCCTTCACAGCTGAAGAGTTTTACTTCAGTAAGGTTCAAGAATATCATCACTTTGAACCACTTGCAGAACAGGACTCTGAGCCTGGAGAACACCACATTGTTCTGGAATTCATTCACAACATAGTGATTTTTTAAAATGCTTATATTCCTTTTTAACAAGCCTGAGAGTAGCTTTACCACATTCTTTCATCCAGAATGTAACCAACTCTGGCATGAGACACAGAAGCCATTATAGCTGTGACTATAAAAATACGCATACCTTCAAAGGTGAGAAAGAATAGTTTTACCCTTTTAAGTGGAGAAAATGGAAGTAGTAAAAATTAATTGTTGCACTTGAATTGGAATTTGAACAGGAAGTGTAAATCGCTGACCTATCTGGCAGGAAAAATTGCAATGACGCTTTCAGTAACTGCAAGCCTGAGTCCATATATGTAGTACTTTGAGAGAGAGAGAAGGCCTTCTCCTTTATTTAAAATGAATAGTGAATTTCAGTCCCTTTGTATCATCATGCTTGTGTTTTGCATTCATTTCTGTCTCTCTTGGTATTTCAGGCTTCTTTTTAAGTCAGAACTGAGTCGGTTCCTCATGGAATACATACCGAAATTGGATTTTTAGGTTTTGTGTCCGTACTAAATTGCAGTAGGACTGAAAGAAATCTCCCCATTTGATTGAGCTTCATTATTCTGCGTTTCCTGTTCTTAGTTGCTATGTGCTCTTAACTATGAACTCTTTAAGAGCTGTTGTATTCTGCCTTGCAAGTACCATGTTTTGGAAGTAAGAAATACGATTCCTCTTTGAGTATGTGCGTGTCTGTGTCTGTGTTGTGTGGGGAAAAGTTGGAAACTGATCTTCGTACTGTCATCTTTCTTAGTTTATAAGAAATGAGTAAAAGACATGGAGGTTTTTTTACTAATCTGCTTTAAGAATATATGTGGAAGTGCAAGCTGTTCTATACTGATTTTCTGGTTCTGGCTGGGACCTTTTGGTACAATCCTAACACATGTAGCAAGGTAATGATGTACTGGCCATGTAAGGAATCCACTCTGTGGCTGTGGCTACCCTTGTCAGCTCCTAATGGGAAAGAGAATTGGTTACCCAGATGCATGCCTAGAAACACACAGTAAAAAGGCGTTATTGTTCACTGGCCCATTGCAAAGAGCTTTTGAGTTTCCCTGCTGGAGGCTGTTGCTCCTCAGCACTGCTGGCAAGGTTGCTTATGTGAGAATTTCCTCCTCTACTTCAGTCAGGGCCAGTCTGTGTTGCTCAAGCCCTTTAACATGATAGCTTTCTTCTAACTCCCCTTGTTTTGACTACAGTGAGTTTGGGAGTATGCTCCAACAGGTACGTGGTGAAAGGCAGATGGGGCCCTTCCTTTTCTTGTCTTCATACCTTTGCACTCTCCAGCAATTCAGCTCTTCCCTATTTCCTCGTTTTTCTGTGTTTTCTGTCATATTTTTGCTTCCAGCCTCAATCCTCATTTGAATTGTACTCTTCCACGCCCTGGTTTTTCATGTTCCTCTTTCCAGTGTTTATTTCACCTTGTCTTTGACTCCCTTTTTGTTAGACTCAAAACTGTACAATCTCCTCTCGAACCAATTAAAATGCATGGACAATGTTTTGGGTGGCAGCAGACAGACTTCCTGTATCAATGGTACTGGGTAGCACATAACCATGATTTTCCACGTTGTTGTGTCCTTTGCATTTGCGGCAACGTTAGCAGGCCTTGCCCCATCATGCCAGCAGCGTTTCCTGGAAAGCTGGAAGTGATTAAATAAGAAGCTGTTATTACGTTATGGAGATGAAAACAAAAGAATGAGTAGCAAGTGGACAAATGGTGAAATGTGAGGAAGTTAGAGTTCACATGGCCAATGACTTGGATCAGGCATCACAGAAAGAAGTAAAGCTCCTTGTTAGTCTTTGAGGTCTACTTGAATCTTTGGTCCAGTCAGAAATACGAAGGGGTATGCTCCCCTAAAGCCAAAAGATGAAGAAGCAGAACCCCCAAATCACTCTTTGGAGTCCCTAAGCCAGCACCCTTATATGACTACTAAACTACTATCTGCAGCCCCTCATAGAAATGGAAGAGATGGAAGAGGAAAAACTGTGATGATCATGGATCTGTCTGGGTCATACTGACTTTAAGAATCACAGCTGATGCATGAGTTCTGTCAAGTGATTCTTTGCTTGACATTGTGCCTAAACTGATAACATAGCCCATCTTTTATTGGAAGTTCACCTTACTAGGTGTATCTGCCATAACCTGGGAGTATTCCTGAGATTGTTGTAATAAAAGTTTATGTCGTACAAACACACTGGGTTTCTTCAGGTTCTCAGTGACATGCCTCTTCATAGGTGCCGTATTTCAAATCATAGTTTACTGATGATCAGCATTTCAGCTATCAGGCTGCATGCTGATTAATTTTATTTATTTTATATTTGGTACATCTTACAACATAAAATTCATACCGGTTTAGATGTTCTCATCATATTGTGGACACAAACTAACTTATTTAAAATAAATTTTTGAACGACAGCATTAGCTCTTAATGTGTTTGATATCTCTAGCTTCTTAAAAATCCCTACTGTGTAGTATGTAATAAAGAAATTATGAAAGTATGATGCATGAGCACTGTTATAAACCTTGTTAATGCAAAATAACCTTTTGTAAAATTTCTGAGAGATTTCAAAATGAACTACAAAGCATGCATAGTACTTAACTTCCATAACTTTTTAATATGATGCATTAGACATGTTATAAACCATGTTAATTAAGTGATAATCTCTATGGCTTTCTGTATATGAAGCAATAAATGGCTACTGAAATAGATTACTAGGCAAAGCAGAACAGAGATTGTTTAATCAATCTGGGAAGGCTACACAACAAAATACACTGTTCTGGTTATGAAAACAAAAAACCAAAACCTGCCTGTCTTGAAGGAGTTGGGTGTGTTGCACCACCTCTGATTTCAGTAACCTCTGCAGGATTCTGGCACCAAACTACTGACTCTGTGGAGCACTATTGTCTCAACTTTCATTGCCCTGATTGCTTTTGCAGTTATTGCTATTGCTTGCTTTTTGTATTCCAGTTAAGTTCACAAAGTGCATTGTGCAGAACATGCAAGAAGATGGCTCTCACCCTGAATAATCTACTAATAAAAGCAAAATACGCCCAGGGACAGGGTGTCTGATAAAGATGCAGACATTAATGTATGTTGTACAGATTTAAAAAAAATAAAATAAACCAGTTAATGTCTTCTACTGGTTACTGCTTCTCTTCCTAACCATCATCATTTACTTACCATCTTGGAGGTGTAAAGGTAGGAGTGACTCACAGAGAACTGTAGATAACAACAGTTCTACTGAGACCGTTCAGCTGGGAGAAGATTCTAAATCTGCTGTGAAGATATGGACAAATACAAGAGTTTAGGCAGGCAAGACTGACACTGTAAAAGGTTGGATTTAGTCTTGTTTCTGTATAGAAAGCCGATTAATGTAGTCACAGCATAACTGGAAGTTGGTCATGCCAAAGATTCAAGCCTGGTGAAAAATCTTGTCTTTAACAAGATAGCCAGTGACTCAATTAAAGCTTCTGCTGTCTTGCAACAAATATACACAGTCTTACTCAGTGCTGTCTCTTGAGTAGATAGCCCAACACAGGGCTATATTATTTTCTAAAAATATCCTAATGGCTCTTTCCTTTTTTTTCCTCTCCAGAATGTTTGTATGATAGAATAGCACAAGAAACTGTGGATGAAACTGAAATTGCACAGAGACTCTCCAAAGTCAACAAGTACATCTGTGAAAAAATCATGGATATCAATAAATCATGTAAAAATGAAGAAAGGAGGGAGAGTGCAAAGTACAATTTGCAATAAATTTTGGATTTTTAATAAAGTCTTAGTGTTTTACTTAAGTGTTGTTTTTTGATTTGTGTGGCATTTTTGCTGATGGAAGAAGCTGACTTGAAGCGTTACTCTCCATCTATAACTGATTCATTTTTTGAGCAGTTCTGTCAAAAGCCTTTCTATGGTGTAACCTGCTTTTAAATAATGTAAGATATATTGTAAGTCCACTCACAATGAAACAGTGAATTTTCAAAGGTTTTTTCCAATGAGTTGCAGTATGTTACCTGCAGTTCTGTATATAGGTTGTAATTCTGCAAACACCTACCCATTTTGCCTACATTTTGTTTTATTGGAGTTAGTGGATGTAGGTGCAGTAAACATCTGCTTAGAAGGAAGAACTGTACAAAATCCACTTTGCTATTGGAAAGGGTTTTATTGTATTTTACAAAGTGTTTTTCTGACCTGAAATTTTAATTGTTTGTTTTTATAAAACTTTGTTTTGATCTCTAACAATATATTTGGTCAAAACCACACAAAGAATGCTTCTTTTTCACTTATTATCTTGTAGTTAGATTACCATTTCTGTCATAGTTTAAAAAAAAAAAAAACCGAAACAAAGAAGCCAAAGTTGTAATTTGTAAAATCATGATAATTTATTTAAAAAAAAATAAATTTAAAAGCAGTTCTTTTTCAGGCACCAAGGCACTTTTCAGATTTCTGGTTATGGTACAAAGCTCTTCAGTATGTCCACATTACTGTTCTTGAAACACTCTATTTTTAATGTATTTTCAAACAATTTAAAGATTGCCACACTATGGCAAGATTATGTATAATAGAAAATTTAGTACCAATGCCTCTGAGTCCATAATTTAACAGTGGACACTTTTAGCACATATTTAAATTAAAAATAAAAATAATTTTCTACACTGATGTTAGACTTGCGATGCAAAGTTATAAGGAATAATTTGTTGTCTGAAATACCTTATTGTCTGTAAGTGAAACAAAATAACCTGAAGTCTTGTTTCATGAAGGATTTTGAGAATAACATTTCTGGAGATAACTTAGGGCCTGTACTGATCAATTTTGAGGATTTGTTGTATTAGTGATCTTAGTAAACCTTCCATTTGTTTTGCACACGCAGGTGTGATTATCTGCCTTTCAGGCTGTCTGTCCCCGAGTATATCAGTATTTGTTCCTTTTCTACCACAGAAATTCTGCTTCCTGTAGTTTTGAAAGACTTACCGTTTCTTACCATCTTCGTGTAGCACTGGTATATCCTAACGTTAAACCTATTTCAATGTCCTGTATGCATAGATAACTTCAAAGGAGCAATGCAGGGATTCTTTAGAGGGCTGGGGAGGATGGAGGAAAGAGGGGAGGGGAGAGGCGGAGGCGTGCTAGAACTGCAATGCCTGTTTCAGACGAGATGGAGAAAAACACGCTGTTGTCTCTTCCTGTACACCACATGTGCTTAAATGAGCCCTTAATTCAGGGCATAAGTATTTGTTTTACGCTTTCTAAAGTGCAATTGCATGATTGGCTTGTGCCAATCCAAGTGCATCATGCTGCCAAAAGAGTACACCCCACTTTAACTGCTCGTGTCCCTGCGTTCCCATCCCTTCCCTTAAACTGGCACTTGTGATTGTGCAGATGTGTTGGATATCACTGATTTCCAAGGTTCGTTTCATAAGGACTGGTGCCAATAGGATGGAGCCAGGGAGCACTCATAGCGAGGGACGGGAAGAGGAGGAGTGTCTTTTTACGGTGGCTTATGCGTATTCTGAAATTGCATTTAACAGCCTAGCTTGTCTTCTGTTAATCTCAAAGTGTTCTTAGGTAGTGTTTAATGAAGTGCATAAATGTTTATGCTTCCTAGTTTGGGATGCTAAATAGCAAATTAGTGTTTATAATGTCAGTGCATGTATTCTTTTATTAATTAAAGAACAAAATAGAGATAACATTGAAGAAACACTTAAACAGCAAGTTACCAATTTTCAAGCAGACTTGTGAATGTACAAATTTTTTTAAAGTGTTATTAGGACAATCCACTAGTTTTGGGGAAAATGTCCATAATTTCCTCAGTCTTTTGCGGCTTAAGTACTAATGTGTTTTCATTGTAACATTCTTTAATGAGAAGATCATGCTGCAGTTCTTAGAAGATAAGCCTATTTGAGACAGCATTTTATGAAACCTGGGAAAAGCAGATTAGAATTTAATTAGAGTTAGGACTCCAGCCTGGCCCCAAAAATGAGAGATTCAAAGTCTTTCTGCAAAACCAGCATACTCTTTCTAAGGCTTCTCCTTGACAGTCCTGTCCCATCAGATGTTAATGCTGCATATGCCTGAAAAATTTCAGTTTTCTCTTTGGGGAAGGTGTCTTGGAAGTCTTCATTCATTTCTTCCTGGAGTTTCTATCAGCCCAGGTCCAACAGACAGTTTTTAGCAGACTTCAACAGGAGTATTTGGGTGGCACAAAAAGATTCACTTCCCTTTGAAGCGTAGCATTGTGGGGGACTAATACTGTGTCCTTTGGACTGGGCAACTGGCATTTAACATGAGCATCACCTGAAGCTTTGTTGAGTTATGGTAAAGGAATAGGGCATATTAAAGGTAATATACCTCTTTATTGTATTATAACTTGAACTAAATATTTGGATTTCTGAAAATAGTTTTCTGCTAATAATAAGCCAGTTTTGTGCACTGTAGTTGTAAGGCAATGTGCAGAGAGGTCTGTAAAGCATAACAGGTGTGTATGAATAACATCTTTGCACTTATATTTGGTCATTACTCTTGCCTTTTCCCTCCCTGTGAACCCCTATGAAGACTGTACAAGTCTTTCCCAGTGTGTGTGTTTCAAGTAGGGAAATAGGCTACCGTTGTCGTGTGTTCCAGCATTACCCAAGGCAAAATACAAACTTTAATGGGGTGTGCTTTTCTGCATTGAAATAGTGGTTGATATTTGTGAATTTCATTTCACTATGTTATACTGCATTTATGGCCAGTGCTGGTTTTGTTGGTATGTTAATTCTCCCATAATCATGCCTGCCTGTACATAGTTTTGCTTTGTTCATGATGCATCAGCCGTGAATCTACCATAGGAAACTTTATGTGAAAATAGCGCCTACTAACTTTTTCCTGCTCTAGCTTAAATTCATACCTGTACATCATGTGAAACAGGAGAGAATTTTGACGTAAAATGAAGTAGGTTTTATTATACCATGTAATACCCTCGTTCATCATTCTAAGGTTTGTGCTGTGCTGTTACTTCATGCTGTAAACCTGGATTTGTAAGTATCAGAAAGACACAGATTTAAGAGGAACTGACTTTTTGTCCTGAGAGATCAGTGCATACTGTTTACTTCTTTTTTAATCAAAGAAGGAAGAAAGTATTACTGTTACATGAATAATCTGATCCTTTGTTGCCACACATCGCTGCTGTAATTTGTGATATTCACAACCTGATCCATATTAAAGTGCCTCTGGCACACTTGCAAGGAAGCAAGATTAGAGTTAACAAAAAGGGCTTTATTTTCTATTAATGATTTTATAAGGAGAATGAGCTTCCTATTATAAATTTAACTGAAATTCCTATTATATTAAAGGAAAGAATTTTACCACAGATATTAATACGTCAGTCAAGATTTCTAGCCACTCAATTAAAAAAAGAAAGCTAGTATTTGTTAGAGAGAAAAAAAAAAAGTGTTAGGTTCTGCTGTTACAAAACAGGTTTGGATTTAGTGATGCTTTATAGAGATGGGAGGGTTTTTTTTTTTAGATACAGCCAGACTAAAATACTTCCTTAGTCATGTCAAAGTTGACATATAAGTAGAAGGAATTTAAGGTTGCATTTGGTTAGCTATTAAGCATGACTGTCAAAAGAAGGTACCATCTCCCTGTGGGAGGTCACTTCTTTGCACTGTACCTTTGATGCTTTATCTGATAGATTACTACGATGCTGCTTTGTTGTTTTAAGCATAGGTTATTGTCCTCTTGGAAGTTTTAAGTAGCAATAAATTTAACTTCTTCTGGATTTAGTGGAATTGTAAAGATAATTCAACTTCACACTTCCAGAATTTGTAGACCTTTAAAAAATAAAGCTAAGTGCTATTCATTGTTAAAATAATACCATCTTGATGCAAACCCTCAAAGGAGTGAGAATGTTCTGAATTGGGAACATTCTGTATTATCTGTAGCCAAACTGTGCATCAGCTGCATTTGTAACTATTGAGAAACCCAGACTTGCACTGTTTCTGAAAGGGAAAGTAAGGTTGTGTCACATGGAGCTATATTGAGGATTATTTCAATATTCCATCTTTTGGTGTGAGAATGGCCAGTCTTCAGAAAGGTACAAAGATGAAACTTGTGCTTCTTCAGGTGGTAGTTTTCTCACTATTCTTGAAAATATTTGTCATTCTGTGCATGCCTTTAGTCTTGGATTGATGAAGTCAACATCAATTGCTTAGACTTTATTGGTGTCATTTTTTTCATCGTAACAGTGTGGAACTGTGAAGTGATTCATACAACACTGAGGCAATAAAAATGTTATGAAGTGCTATCATTGCATCTTTCATGCTCACTAGCTAATTTTTAATTTCACCATCTTGGACGCTTTTTCATTCCCTCAGGCTTCCTAAATAGGAAAGGAGAATCATTTGGACTTGGAAAACAGGAACAGTGATTCAAAAAGGAATTAATTTACTCGGCTGTTCATTTGCTTTACTTTTGCAATTATTTCTGCTGTTTGTTTGAACAATAACGTTCATTCTATGCATCAGATACCCGCTTGTTCAGTCCTGCAGTGAATTCAGAGTCCTGTGGTTGTGACATCATTTGTTTATCATAAAGATGAAAATACCTCACCTATGACATCAGACGAAGTTCCATTATGTCTGGATCAGAACAGAGGTGAAAGTGAGTCTGGGAGGAGAGGAAGAAGCTGAGCCTAAAGGATTTTTTTCTGTGCTGCCTTCTGACTAGAAAACTTCCTATGAAGGAAATTATTTCCTCCGCATTTATAGCAATGTTATGTT